TGCGCGCACGTGGGCACAGTTCACAGAGGGACAGCTCCAGTCAGCTATCGCCTACCTGGGCCCGATAAGAAGCGGAGGGGTCGAGGATCACGTGCCAGCACCTGGGATTGGCGACGTACAAGGCGTTGTGCGTGTTGGATATCGCGTGGAGCGGTGTATATTTGTATAGGTGACGAATTGGCGTTGCTAGCCGCCGAGGACCCCGGCGCTGCAGAGCCGCGGACTCGGACAGGGTGCGGACGGTAGCTGCAGAAGGGCAGATCGCTTACTCCATCGTCATGTCGGCCCTCGGATCGGGTTGGTAGAAATATGTCGGTAGTGATGGTAGTACTCGCTGAACGGCAAACTGGACGAGGCGGCGGCGAACTTCACGATCTGCAATTGTTCGTGAAGAAAACGATCGAGAACCCGACGGCCAGAGTTCTAGTGTACCCCCGGGCGACAAGCAGAAGGGGGAGGCGTTATATTGCTCAATTGAAGGGGCAAGCCTTTTGACTCGTGGTTTTCTCCTTGTAAGGCTGTAAGACGGTCAAGAGTCGGACCCGGGGCAACATCAACATCAGACTTCCGGGTTATGGTTTGGTCGAATCCAGGCCAGACGCTACAACCTGGCACTATAAGCGGCTACGCTAGGCAGGTTATTGGAGTGCAACACCCATACAGTATTTTGGTTTGCAGTGACGCAGACACCAGTTGAGCAACACTAACAAAACAGTTCTATACGATATTCCCCTTCACTCGATTATGCTTGTGGCTGCTTGTGACTGCTTGTTCACAGCATCCCGAAACACGGAGTTAATTTGACATGTGAGTAGCGACAGCCAATAACACGGCGGCAGGGTGAAAAAGTATTGATTTCATAGCAACAGGAGAAGGCGAGGCCGAGGAGGTTGAAGAGGGCAAACCAGCACATCGTAGCCGGAAACAAATTGTGCTGGATCGCGCGCACGTCCATTATGCGGTTGCGCAGCTCGAATCGGTTCTCTGCCTTCGCTTTCTCGTGTCGCGGGTGCTTAGTACGGATGGCACCGGTCCGATCGTCCGCCTGATCCTCCTTGAGAACCCGAGCCGCCCTGACGGTAGCCACCGCCATAGGCGTAGCTCCCAGAGCGTAGTCCCCGCCAGCCTGGTCACCCGTGCAGAACGCACTGCAGAGCAAATTTGAAGCCACGCAGCTAGAGTTGACTGAGAAGCGGCAACATGATTCCCGAGTGAAACGAACTCGGCATACAGAGGCAAATGCAGCAACGTGTCAATGAACCGTCCAGCAGCAGACTGGAGCAACAGGGTGGAACGATTGAGCAGCAGAGCCAGCTCATCCAGCGCCTCAAAGAAGAGCAGTTTTTTTTTTCTTGCCTAGCGAGCTTCTGCCGTTGAGCGTGCTGAAGATCAAATGCATGCTTTGCATTTACTGAAGAGCAACATATCGGCTCGAGTGTGATCTAGCAAGGAGCCACAAACTCGACGAACAGATAAGAGAACTGTCCGAGACGTCGCAGCTGCTCGCCGAAGACATACTCCAGATGAAGCTCAAGCTAGCAGGACGAGACCAAATGCTACTGAAACGTGGCCAAAAGTATGCGGAGCTTGCTCATGCTAACCGCGTACTGAGTCGGCATGCCCAAGCGATAGAACTATCCGAGCGCGAGCTGGTTGCAGTGCTCATTCGGACCAAGAAGCGACTGGCACTTCTCCGAGACACGCTAACAAGGTTCTGCTACGAGCTGGAGGGGATAAGATAGCAAATGGTGGCGAGTCGCAGTCGGTTAGTGCACCGAGATGACCGAGTGCTGATGAATTCGTGACTAACACCTTGGTTCATTTTGCTCTTTAGCGAAGTTTCACTTGTTGCGTGAGGATGGCAAGCGAAATCGAGAGCTGCACAGCCAAAGTGTTTCTGCTAGAAACAGGTACTTCGAAGTAGGAGAGCTACCTGTAGATTAAAGCGAACCCGGAGGAGCACAATCTGACTAACACTTTGCACGGACCAGCTTCAGTCCGTGGTGAGCGCTTCCCGTAGCAGTGAGAAGCGAAAGGAGCAGGCGATATCAGCGAACGGAATCTCAAGCGTGACTTGGTGATCGAGCGCTGCCAACGCACAGAGTACGCTGCATGACACAGCTCGTGGCGCACGCCCTGGAGCTGAGAACACCACCGTGGGTGGCCCTGGGCGCCGCCGGCGTGCGCGTGACTGCCGGCGAAACCCGCGGCGAGTCCGTTGACTTCCGGCAGCGCTTCATCCTGCGGCGCGTCGGCCTCGGCGGGAGAACGCGGCGGCGAGCTGGGCGCGGGAGGCGCGTCGGCGGCGAACAGCTTGGAGCTCGGGCGCAGCGGCGGCTTCAGGTTCATGTGCTTGGTCTCGTCCAGCACGTGGTACGCGTGGCCAGCAAGTGTGCCAGCATCTGCTGCCCATTCTTGGTGGCCTGGGCGATCGTCGCGGCGGCGGTAGTGGCGCCCTGCTCGTCCATGCTGCACTGGAAAAATGTGTTGAACATCAGGCGCTATACCATCCTTGAGAATAATCCTATGTAAACGCATATTCCTGGTATGAATCATAATCCTGACATCGGGAATAAGTTGATGTTGATGGCCTGTTGGCGTTGCCGTTGTTGCAACCGCCGAGTACGAATTGCATCCGTGCCGCCATGACGAGGGACTCGACGTCCGCGTCGTCGTCCAAGGCGCACGCGGACCCGGCGACCGAGGCGAGCGACCGCGATGCGCGCGTGAACGTGCGGCGCTAGCGCATCGAGGCGCGCAACGCGTCCAAGGATGACGCCTCGCGCAAGAAGCAGCTGCAGGTGGGCGAGTCGCAGCGCATGAGCCGCGGCTAGCAGCAGGTGGCCGACAGCCTCAACCAGCTGGACCGCCGCAAGCACGCGGGCATCCACCACCGCGTCGAGGAGGAGGAGCGGCGTCACCAACTCGAGTCACTTTATCCTACACGTCGAGTCCAGTATGATGATGATCTGCAGGATGATGAAGAGTGCCGACGCCACGCGCGCTATGTCCACGTATCCGGTGAAGAAATCTACCCCCACACACTCACAACAATTTAGCACTGTGCAGTACTACGATCTGCTCTACCTCCACAGAAGTGACCTACCATTGGGGATGAAGAGCGACGCCAGCACCATGCCAAGGTAGAGCGGCAGCTGGAACAGCAGCATGCAGCAGACACTCTCGCAGCCTCTGGCCACGGCACAGCTCAGCAGCGCCGTGAGCGTGAAGAAGCAGCCCAGGCTGAAGCTGATGCGGTAGACCAACTGGTTGCCCACGCAGGTGCTCGGGTACGCCGAGTCGTCGCACTCGTCGAAGACGCCGAGTCTCGACAGAACGTCTGCAGCATTGAAGGTATCCGTCGCACTCGCTCAAGTATACAAGGACAGAGGGGATTGAGGGTGTGCTGATGCATACTCTGGCCGAAGGTGCGCAGCAGCCCTGCGGCCGCGGCGCTCACGAAGAAGAGCGCGACGTAGCCGACTCGGGTCATGACGATGGTTGAAAGAGTTCTGAAAAATGAGTCAGCGTATCAACGCCTTAGTTTCGAATAAGTATACACTCGTGTCTTATATTGGTACTGTGCATCTGTGCTGAACTAACTGTTTGGGTTTGCAGTGTACATTTCCAGGAGACAAATGCGCAGAAGCGTGCTGCCCCTGTTGCTCGGATCCTGCACCGCTCAGTCAGCGGCAACACGGAGGGCGGCAAGAAGGCCACAAAAGGCACCAGCTCGGCTGCGCTCAAGGCCAGAGCCCGGAAGGCGGAGAAGGAATACTGGGCCAACATCGTCAAGGTGTTCCCCGCCCAGAAGATCCGCGTCATGGCTACACTCGAGAAGGGGCTGACGCACTACAACACGGCGCTGCTGCGGCGCAAGGAGCTGATCGACGAGGTGACGGCCATGAAGGCGCAGAACGCAGAGCTCAAGAACCTGCTCAAGCAGTACCTGGCCGCCCCCATCAACGAGGACCTCATCGTGCCGCTCACGCAGATGCAGCTCTAGCAGTGACAGGCGAAAGCGAAGTTGAAGTGCTACTTAAGCGAAATGGACTCACAATACCCATGCAGAGCAAACATCAGCAATGTCTGCAGCGACGAACCTCAACGAACTGCTTGATGACTCGGATGACGTCCTCCGGGCCGACCATAAGGCCCCACGATGTCTTGGCCCCGTCCTTGCCGGGTGAATTGCCCTCCCGGTTGTTGTCACCACTACCAGGAACCTCTTGTCGCGGGTCCTCGAAGAAGTACCCCATGAGCTTCTCCATGTCCTCCTCGTTGTCGCGCGCACGATCATGTTCACAAGCTCCGCCTCGTCATCGGGCAAATTCTCCAGCGCTTGCTGCACGCTGCCGTTCACCAGGAAGCCAGCCTTGGACGCGAGCATCTTCAGCATGTACTTGAGCTTCGCGCCCGATATTTTCTTGACTGGCGGCGTGTAGGCTTCGACCGATTCGTCGTCGAAATCGTCCTGGTCGGCGTTGGCGCCATTGTCGTCTCGCCTGCTGCCGCCCTTATCGCTCTCGTTGGAATCGGGCGACGACTCGTCTCCGTTCTCGAGCTGCTTCTGGAGAGCTGCTGCATCGCCAGCCTTTGCAGACTGACTCCAATTACGGATGGACTGAGCCGGTGGCCGCCACGCGAGGCCAAGCTGCTGCTCGTGGATGATGCGATCGGCGTCCAGCAGCTTCTCGATCTTGTGAATCGCGTCCTCCTCGTGCATCTGCCACACTTCGTCGTACTTGTTGCTGTCGCTGGTTTCGAAGTGCGCGTACTTCCGCTGCAGGTCGAGGTACTGCTTCGTGAGGCGCCGATACTCCTCCGTGAGCTCCTCGTTTTGGTGTCGGTCCCGAGCGTCGGTCTGGTTGTACTTGGCGATCAGAGTGGCCAGCGCGTCTTTCAGTCGAGACAGCCTCCGCTTCTGCTGACTGAGCGTGGCCGAGTTCAACATGTCGCGCTCCGTCAGCACTCGGTAATTGTACTCGAGCCTCTCCGTGTTGAGCTGGTACGTGGCGCGCATCTCTTCGAGCTGCTGCTCGAGCGTCTGGATGTTGGTCTCGAGCTTGATCTTGAGCTCGTTGTAGTCCTCCGCATCGCGCACTCGCAGCTCCTCGATCTCCTGCAGATACTGCTCGTCGCGCGTCTGCTTAGCTTCCATGTAGACCATCTCCATCTCGCGTCTGCGCTCGAACAGCGAGTCGATCTCGAGCTTGTTGTTGGCGATGCGCTCGTCGCGCTCCTTGAGGAAGGCGTCCTCCATCTGCTCGAGCTCGAGCTCGTACTCATCCTGCATTTACCGGTACTGCTGACTCATCCGATCCACCAGCTTCTCTACCTCTTCGGCCTGCACCTTGAGCGCCGCCACGTACTCTTCGTCCTTGGCCTTGAGCTGGTTCTGGAACTCGCGGATCACCGCGTCCCTGCCAAGATCTCGGCGCACGCCCGGTTCTGCAGCTCCAGCTCGTTCTGCAGCTCCAGCTCGTTGTGCAGCTCCTGCGGCATGCTGAACTCGAAGAGGTCGGCCCAGCGCATCTCCACGGCGGCGTTCTTGGCGCCGCTGTCGACGGCCTCCTGCTGCAGCTTCTGCACGCGCTGGTGAGACCAGGAGACGTTGGTTGCCTCTAGCGGAGATTCGCCTGAGGCTGAAGGTGCCCGCAT